GAGAGAGAGAGAGAGAGAGAGAGAGAGAGAGAGAGAGAGAGAGAGAGAGAGAGAGAACCTGGTCATGTCCATGGATGATACATCTGTCCATAGCAGATGTGTAAACCAATGAGACGGAACCACAGCCGCCCCAGCCCCCGTCCTCTCTGTCTCTTTCTCTTTGTCGTCTCACTGTTTGTCATTACCCCGACAGCCCCGACTTGTTGCGTTCTTTCTCGTAAGGAGGGGTGCGTATCACATTCGGGGATGTGCCCTGTCCGACAGCAACAACCTGCTCTCATCTCCTCCTTAGATCTTGGCGATTTTTTAGGTTACGCCTCTTTTTCAACGTTGTTTTCCTGCACCCATCAAGCTCAGGTGTCCATTTCACACGTTCGTTAGGGCGGTTGAGACAAGGCGCCAGGTGGTAACGGTCAAAGAGACTGACTTTGGTGACAGGGCGGTTTCTCGCCCTTGAAGCATGGTAGTTGTGTGCTGGTGCCGAAGGTTTGCGTTTTGTTGTGATGGTTGTTTTCCACCCCCCCCTCCCGTTGACCCCCTCCCCCCAGTGTTTGCCATCGGGGTTGGGTTTTCGTCGCTGCCCAAGGCGTTGTAAAGCAAACCGCCCCCCCGGTGTTTGCCACCGGGGTTTGCTTTTCGTCGCTTGGCAACGACCTTGCAAGACTAGCCGATCACTTCGTGAACTCGGCAACCAGGTTTCCGCTTTGGTATTTGTCAAGGACCTGTGATTGATTTTTCTTTGGAGCCAGGGTATTTACCCAATAAAATACATACCATTCGAAAGCTACGGACCAGGGCTTTCGAACGAACCTACTTTTAGCTTTCACAGACATGTTGGTGACGAGTTATGTCCAATATACCGTTTCGAAGAAAACGCGGCGGAACTAGTAAATCTCGATTTCCCGGGCCTCCACCACCTTTGTGAAAATATATATATATATATATTTGGAATCCTCGTCAAAAGTTGGTTCTAGATCACCTGGTTCTGAACCCGGTTTTGCCGGACTCCAGGTCGAAATCAATCAAGAAGAAAATTAAAAAAAAAATGCGGCCCGACCGTTGGTTTGGGCAGCAGCTGACACCGCACATGGGAGGTGTACACATGTTGTTGTGAAGACCGGCAACCGAATGGATCTCGAGCAAGAGATGATCTACGCCGTACAGCAGTCAGTTCCTGACGGATTCAAGCTGCGCAACACACTCAGCATCGATAGACAGAAGCCACGAAAGTACCGTGTAGTGCTGTACGCGAGGTCGGGCGACAGCACTGAGTTGAAATGGCGGAGCGGCTGGATCACGTCTGGAAAGCCACGCGGCCGCGACGCCATCGCGGAGAGAAGCATCCTCGACAATGTTACTGCTGTTGACTGGGAGTTCCTTCAAAAAATGAACTCATCCGATGCGCCCATGGAGAGCGCACCTCCGCGGGAGTGCGTGGTTAGAACCGCAGCCCCGGCCATCGGTTCACTGCAAGAACCTGGTCTTGCAGGTGCAGGAAGATCGCGAGATCCAAACTTGGGCGGACGACGTCACTACGCCGGACGACCCTTTGGATCGTTNCAAGCTGCGCAACACACTCAGCATCGATAGACAGAAGCCACGAAAGTACCATGTAGTGCTGTGCGCGAGGTCGGGCGACAGCACTGAGTTGAAATGGCGGAGCGGCTGGATCACGTCTGGAAAGCCACGCGGCCGCGACGCCATCGCGGAGAGAAGCATCCTCGACAATGTTACTGCTGTTGACTGGGAGTTCCTTCAAAAAATGAACTCATCCGATGCGCCCATGGAGAGCGCACCTCCGCGGGAGTGCGTGGTTAGAACCGCAGCCCCGGCCATCGGTTCACTGCAAGAACCTGGTCTTGCAGGTGCAGGAAGATCGCGAGATCCAAACTTGGGCGGACGACGTCACTACGCCGGACGACCCTTTGGATCGTTGCTGCCCAGCGGGCGCGGGCGTTGAGACTGCGCCAAGAACTACAGGACGCCGTTCCTGGGGCGTTCAACCTATCGGCCAGCAGCCTGGAAGAAGTCGTGCGGGCTTGGATAGAGTTCGAACCTGAGTGGGCCGAGGACGCGAAGAAGAAAATCTGAACAAGGGCACGTACAATACATCTCAAGCCGCGAAGAAGGTTAGGCGTGCGAAAGGGGCGGAGATGAGAGCCCACTTGCTCGCGGCAGCGGCGGACGAGTTTCGCGCTGAGAGTGTCGAGACGCTCGACCTCGTCGTGAAGGATGCGGCGAAGTCGATCAGCGCAGCAGCGGAGATGGAAGATGTGAGTAATTTACAGCGGCATTTATGATCAACGTGTGATTATTATCTTCTTCAGCATGCCGTGCTCGAACCTGCGTCTACACTCTGCGATTTGCACTGCTGTTTTATTTGTCATCAGGGCTTGGTTGGGGCGGAGTGTGTAGGGCGCCATCACCGCCTCCGAGCTCCGGCTGCGACCGCCAGAGTAATTTATTGACCAATGCATTCTCAGCTAAAAAAAATACACTCGAAACACTGCTGTCAGAAACACTGCTGTCAAACAAATCGGCTACTGAAAATGGAAAGATTTATTGCCGCCCTCGACACCCCCCCTTTGCGCAGGACACCAACACGGCAGAGCGCGTTCTGTCCTACTACATGCTGGCGCACATGGTCCAGGTGGCCATGACATTGATCCAGCTGTACACCCAGCAGCTCAACGGGGTCGACCGGAAGGATGCACTGGCCATCGCAGCAGAGGTTGGACGGAGGAGTGTTCCAACAGTACAGCTGTGGGAGCGGGATNGCAGAGCGCGTTCTGTCCAACTACATGCTGGCGCACATGGTCCAGGTGGCCACGACATTGATCCAGCTGTACACCCAGCAGCTCAACGGGGTCGACCGGAAGGATGCACTGGCCATCGCAGCAGAGGTTGGACGGAGGAGTGTTCCAACAGTACAGCTGTGGGAGCGGGATTTCATCGCGTGCGGACGCATCAAGCCACCTGACACAAGTCGCTTCAAGCGCCGGTTTTTGCTGGAACTCGACGAAGGCGTCTCGAGGCTCGCGAAAGGCTGGGCGCTCGAGAACTGCGGGATACTCAGCGGGCAAGCCAACAAGAGGCGGAGGATTTCCGCAAGTGGGTGAACAGCACCATCATGCTGATGCTGGAGGCGCAACAAACGGAGGACTTCGACCCTTTCCATGGATTGAGAAAAAACCTGGTGGAAGGGAAGGAGAACGAGCCGCCAAGGCACCAAGTCTCCCTTTCCACGGCAACAGAGTGGCTGAAGAAGATGGGATGCGAATACCACGACGGCAAAAAGGGTCTATTCTTCGATGGCCACAACGACGAGAAGACCCTTGCGTACCGGCACGACGAGTTCCTGCCGGCGCTGTTCGAGACCCGCGACTACATGGAGGTGTGGATTCCAATGGGCAAAGAGGTCGCCTGGGGCACTGACGTTGATGCGGTGGAGGAGTCTAAGCGCTTTCCGGATTGTGGTGTCTGGGTCGGTGTCGATGATCTCGAGGCAGCGCTGGCAGACTTGCCCGCAGACCTGTAAGCCAGAGTGCAGAGCAAGAAAACCTACCCCGACGGGAGGCGGGCCATGCTTCTCTACCAGGACGAAAGCATATTTCGAGGTTAGTCTATTTAATTTAAACAGAGAAAGTTGGCGGGACTGATTTGTAAATTTGATTCCGGACGTGAATAGTAATCTTGCACGCAATTCAATATTATTTCGGGGCTGTGGCCACAGAGATGTTGACAATGCCACACCCGCCGCCCAAAATTATCGGTGTCCTTTTCGAATTTGCAGCCAACGACGACCAGAGGTACGCGTGGTATCGGGACGGCCAGCACGTGCCCCTCAAGAAGTCACAAGGCCAGGGGAACATGGTGTCGGGGGCGATCATCCACAACCTCGGCTTCTTCTCGGCATCGTGGGTACAGATCAAGGAGGCGGAGTTCAACCGCAGGAAACGATGCGCTGCCTCATTTGCCGCGAAGCGGCGGGGGGAAAACGTGAAAGTCGAGAAGTTCCGCCCTATCGACATGCTGCACAAAGACGAGCACGAACGGCACTGTTCCTACCACCTCTTCGAGTACGGCAAGAACAAGGAGGGATACTGGACCGGGCTCAAGATGCTGGACCACATGGCAGACGTGCTCGACGTTTTCACAGTTCTCTACCCTGAGCACAAGCCTGTAGGCCTGTTCGACTGGTCGTCCTGTCATGATTGCATGGAGGCCGGCGCACCGTCGGTGAAGAGATTGAACTTGGGTGTAGGTGGTGTGAGGAACGGAGAAGAGCTTGCGCCGATGGACCCCGTGACCATCCTCGAAGACACCCCGAACCTCCCAGCGGGTACGACACAGCACTTGACGTTCCGAAGGGGAGACGCCCCCCCCTTCCACTCCCCGCATCTCAGGCCGGCCGAGTATGTCGGAAAGCTAAAAGGAATGCGGCAGATCTTGTGGGAGAGGGGGCTTNGGTCGTCCTGTCATGATTGCATGGAGGCCGGCGCACCGTCGGTGAAGAGATTGAACTTGGGTGTAGGTGGTGTGAGGAACGGAGAAGAGCTTGCGCCGATGGACCCCGTGACCATCCTCGAAGACACCCCGAACCTCCCAGCGGGTACGACACAGCACTTGACGTTCCGAAGGGGAGACGCCCCCCCCTTCCACTCCCCGCATCTCAGGCCGGCCGAGTATGTCGGAAAGCTAAAAGGAATGCGGCAGATCTTGTGGGAGAGGGGGCTCCTGGTCAAAGGCATGAGTAAGACCGGGGGCTCAGGCGAAAAGCAGGACCTCAGCAAGAGCATGGAGCACGTTCTAGGAGAGCAGAAAGACTTCAAGGAAGTTGATTCTAGTCTGGTGCTGTTTATGCAGCGCGACGGGGAGGCCTGTCTCATGCTTCCTAAGTACCACTGCGAGTGTAACCCCATCGAACTTGTTCGGGGACGGGCGAAGGACTGGACTCGCAAGAATTGCATGTATTCGTTGGAATGCTTGCGCAATAACGTGCCGCTAAGTTTTGAGAGCAGAGGAGGATAGGCAGGCTGTTCCGGTAGTCCAGGGCTACTGCAAGAAGGCATACACACACGCCCTCATGTACCGAGAGACGCGTGTGGAAGGGCCTGAAGGCAAGAAGACGTGCAAGAAATAAAAGTCACTCAGGCGCCCGACCCCGAAGGAATGGAGACAGTACATGGATGGCGCATTCTTGTTCGTTGAGGTGAACTTTTTCAGGTTTTTCCCCATGTTTTCTGGAGAGAATGTTGCACAAAAAAATGATGTTTTTGTAGAAAATAGGCAATATTTACAACGGAAGTACGTTGGCGGGTGATATAAACACGCTATAGGCGCGGCAGAGGCATTTGTGAAGTGGTTGGGGGTCTCCCGGTACAAGTGTAGGTGGTTTGGCGAGAAAACTAGCAATCCGCTGTAAGAAAATATATGGGTGAAAAGCTGCTCCAGGGCCTAGGTCGAGAGTTCAAGACCCGCCGCTAGCACTTTTTTTTTATATTCTTTTTCTCGCGACTCGCTAATCTTTTGCGCCTTGCTGCGGGCGTTCCAAAACTGTCTTTTTTTTTTTTGATTCGATCTCAGTCAAACGTTATGGAGGGACAACCAAAATCTACTCGACCACCTCTGCTTCTTTTTTGCGGTAATCATGAAGGTGGTCGAGTAGATTTTGTTGTGCGGGGTCGAGAACCCTCACTCCGCGCAAAACGCAATCGTTGTGTTACATTGGTGAAGCACCCTCGAGGCAGTTCCACAGTGCTTACAACTGTCTCTGGAAGTGAAAGCACCAGAAAATAAATATTGTCATATGCAGCTGTCATCCGTGCGCAAGGAAGTAACCACAAGATGCCGAACACCCTTACCAGGATGCAGCGCACCCTTCATGCGACTCGCCGAAACGAAAAGAGGGGTAGACAACCCACGGAATGGGTCAAGGTGGTAGAGGACGTATGGAAGGGGTTCGAAATCGACGAAGATGAAACGCTGGAACCGAAGGGTATACAGGGGTTCAAGGAGAAGATATCTGTTGCTTGTGCCGAGAGAGAAGAACATTATAAGGAAAGAAACCGAGGATAAGGAGGGTCTAGAAGTGTACGGAATGTTGAAAGGAGGAATAGTGTTCAAGGATTACCGTAATCATCGGGGTCTTGGCACACTGTGTGGTCGCTTTTTTAAATGTTTCGAACTTCAGACTTTTTTCGCACAGGTGTGCGAATACCCCGATATGTGCCAAGTTCGCGATACCTGTGCGGAAATGCAGCAAATATTTTGGTTCTATGTAACAACGCACACCCCTGTGCCAAGACCCCGATATGTGCGGTGCTGTTTAAATCCAAAGCGGCTGGTACGGCGACTTTCGAACGCACACTCCTGTGCCAAAACCCCGATATGTGCGATCCTAACATTGAAAACCACAGGGGATAGCAGCACTTCGCGTGTATGGTATTGCTGCAACACGATCACAACACAAGCAACAGACAAGCTAGTAGCTGCACACACAAACGAGTCTCGGGGAATTGCCACCACAACAGTTCCGTGGCGGAGAAAAACCGGCGGAAAATCGGGAAAATGCCCGGGACGGAGCTGTGGGCTCGACCACACGCAACGCGCGGCTACGATGTCGGAGGGTGCAAGCGCGGGACCTTCCGACGCCTCACAGGCCTCACAGGCCTCACGGGCTANGTAGCTGCACACACAAACGAGTCTCGGGGAATTGCCACCACAACAGTTCCGTGGCGGAGAAAAACCGGCGGAAAATCGGGAAAATGCCCGGGACGGAGCTGTGGGCTCGACCACACGCAACGCGCGGCTACGATGTCGGAGGGTGCAAGCGCGGGACCTTCCGACGCCTCACAGGCCTCACAGGCCTCACGGGCTAGTGCTGGCGGTCCTTCCTCTGCGGATCAGGGAGCTGTCGCTGCGGACCCGGAGGCAACCGGCGAGGCTATCGATGAGGTGCTAGCCGCCAACGACCCCGTCAAAAACAGCAACGGCAAACGCGCGTACCCGGAGCCCAACTTCCCGATCGAGCGGTCAGGAGCAGTGGGAGGGAAAGGGAGCTACCCCATCCGGTTCAAACTGAACGCGGCGGCCTACACACGGGAGATCTGCCCGTGCGACGGTCAACCGGTGGGAAACAACGACGCGGCGAAAGTCTCCAGGTGCCTCGGAAGCGTATCATCGAGTGGCTGAAGCAGGAGGGGCAGCTCAGGGAGAAGGTCAGCGCCAACCCCAAGCTTTCGAAGGCCAAGCAGGTTCACAGCGGAGGGAAAGCTTCGACAGTCGACGCCGAACAAGCCCTTGTGGACTACATCAACGAGCAGCGCAAGCTGCACCGCGGTTGTGGTAATCGGGAGGTGATGAACAAGCTGCTCGAGCTGAAGCCTGACGCCCTTGGCGGGATGCCGGCGAACGCGAAACCGGAGGAGGCGCTGGCTTTCAAGGTCAAATTCAACTCCTGGTACCAACGGTTCCGCAAGCGGAATGGGTTCAGCATTCGCCGGCGTGCCAGCGTGGGCCAGAAACTGCCGAAGGGGTACGAGGGTATGGCGTGGGCGACGGTGACGAAGCTGCGCGAGGCTCTCGTAAAGCGCGCCGGTGAGATCTACGCTCGGCGCCACCCGCCGGCACCTGACGAGAGCCCCATCAAAGGGGAGGATCTGACTTCCGAGCAGCCGGCGTCTGTGGAGGCGGAGGTTTTCGAGGAACTCGGAAACATGGACCAGACGCCAGTCCAGCACGAGATGCCGGTGGAGACCACTCTGGAGGATACCGGTGGGAAGGATGCTCGCATCAGCACAGGAGGTGAGGGCGAGCTAATATTTTTGTCAAAATTTTGTGTGGTGTGCGGATTTTTTGTCGTTGGACAATTGTTTAAGATTCATGATTTTTTTTGCGTGCTGGTACACGGTGCGATGTAGCTCTATCGGTAGACAAAGGAGGGATGCTACCTTTTTCTGCGGGATTATTCGACACTTCCTTTTTCATTGCATCCAAACTATCAACCAACTGTTTTCGAAGCGTCCGGTACCGTTTGCATCCACTGTATCAACCACACACCGCTGTCCTCGCAGAAATATTCAACACTCTACTCCCCCACCCCCCTCCCCTCGCGTTGGTTCNGGGATTATTCGACACTTCCTTTTTCATTGCATCCAAACTATCAACCAACTGTTTTCGAAGCGTCCGGTACCGTTTGCATCCACTGTATCAACCACACACNCCCCCCCCCTCCCCTCGCGTTGATTTTTCCCCCTCCCCTCAGGCAAAGAGAAGGAACGCTTCACGCTCGTTCTGGCTGTCATGGCGGACGGCAAAATGGTTTCGCCGTGCATCATCTTCAAGGGCACGCCGTTCATCCCCCCGACCGTGAGCGGCAAGGGCAAGAGCACCCTGCCGCGGAAGAACTCCGTCGCGTGGGAGGTCCATCCTGCGAACCGCGCCAAGCACGGCCACCCTGCCAACGGCATGTCCTTCGGCGTGCAGGAGAAGAGCTGGAGTGGCCAGCAGGAGTGTAACGGGTGGATCCCGGGCAGCTGGAAGCTCTGTCCCAACAACGGCAGCATGNTCCGTCCCAACAACGGTAGCATCGTCCAGCAGCGCCCGTGCATCCTGGTGCTGGACGACTTCAAGTGCCACAAGGACGAGGGTTTCATCGCCGCCCTCAACAGAGACGCCAACACCATCGTCATCTTCATCCCAGGCGGGTTGACGCCCTTGCTCCAACCGCTCGACCGCATGCTCAACAAGCAGATGAAGCGGCTGCTGCGGGGCAAGTACACCGCTTACAGCGCGCCGGCGGTCGCAGACGCCCGGTCGGGGAAGCTGAAGCCACCGGAGCGTGGGGTCGTCTCTACGTGGTGCAAGGAAGCGTGGGAGTTCGTCACCTCCGAGACGGTGAACACTTGCTTCAAGATCTGCGGTCTCACGCTCGCGCTCGACGGCAGCGAAGACCACGCCTGGTGCGAGCACAACTTCGGGGAAGACTATCGCGACCTTCTCGAGGAGCAGCACGCCGTGTATCGCTGAGCACCCCGACGTGACTCTCCCGCCGCTCAAGCTGCCGAAGGTACCAGAGGGGTTCGACTCCAACCCCATCACGGCTGCTCAGAAGGAGGTCGAGGGGAAGCTGCTGCCCTACGTCGCTGATGAGAGCGACAGCGAGGTGGAGGTCTTGGAGGGCGACAGCGACGTGGAAGTCGTGGAGGGGCAGGGGGGCGGGGGCGCCGAAGGAGAAGTAGTCGAACTTTGAATCATAGTTCTTTGGGATTGCCAGTGAGATTGGATGTTTTTGCGATGGTAGGGGCGCGGGCACGAAGTAGAGTTCAACCCGCCTAGGAAGTACAGCAGTAGGACGTTGGTAGCTCGTAGTGGTAGTTTGGTGTGATTTTTTCCTTCGTTTTTGGTTTCATCTGCGTTTAGAATTGTCGAGTGGATGCCGTTTGCCGATTTGCCGATCTTGATTCTTCAGAACGAAAAGAAGAGAACAATAAATCATTCGGAACCCGCTTTTTTTCCGCACACCCTGTGCCAAGACCCCTATATGTGCCAAGACCCCGATGATTACGGTACCTACAGGACCAATGGATGCAGGGACAAACCTTAAGGTCAAATCCAGGGCCGGGGACATAGGCCTTCGAGAACGTTGACGAAGACATAGGACGGTAGACGACGAAGACGACAAGTTCAAATGTGATTGCGGCTTCGAATGCGAAGACCGTGTTCATGTAGTCGCGGAATGTCAGTTGTAGGAAGAGGAGAGGGAAGTATGCATGTCTGAGCTGGGAAAAATAGATGGGACGTACAGGGAGATGTTCGAGGCATGGAGCAGAGAGAGGACGGTAGCTGTACTGGGGAATAGGAAGTGGTTTGAAGAGGCAGGAAGGGATATCGTTAGGATAGACAGACTAGGGAAGACATTTTTGAGCCACCTTTGGCAAGTTAGGAAGGAACGATTGGCCATCGGTGATCGGTCCTATGGGAACAATGCTACGTCCTCTCGAGGACGCGTGGTCAAAGGTCTAACCCCTAAGGCATGCAAAACATACAAGTACGCCCCCCCCC